GCGATAGAGCATGATAACCACAGTCAAATAGTATGAGGTGGATCTCTGTAGCCAAATACAACAACAACCAAATACAATTATTAATAAAAAAGATTTAAAGAAAAGAAATCTATTATAACGTTAAAATAAGCCAATATTTACATAATATAGATTTATTCTGTAACAATTAACACACAATAAAATATGTGTGACAAACGTCATCATTTATGTAAAACGATGAAGAACCAGATTCATGCTATCTACGGAACCAAATATAAATGAAACATTTTTTTAATAATGATCCATTTTGCCAGCTTGGTTTTCACCTTTATCTCACTATCATTCAGAACATACGGGTGAAACCGTGAATGATAACCACACACACGAAAACTTGTATCTAACAGTCTTTGGCTATGAAATACCACTCTTTACAGAATGCATTTTGCATGTTTATCCTTTTTATTTATTTTACATATTTACTACCAATTAAATGATAAAAAAACCTTATATTAATTATTTTTTTTGTGTAAACAAAGGAACACTGGTCAGTTTGGACCTAACCACAACAAGTTTAAACCCCTTCTCTGATGTGGGGTGTAAAAGTACTCAGGATCTTGTACAGTATATCAGTATGTAGTTTGTCTCTACTTTAAAGAGTCTCTCCTGCTGATGTTCAGGTGTATATCAGCATGTAGTGTCCTACTTTAAAACCAGTCCTCTCGCTGCTGGATATTCAGGTGTATATCAGTATGTAGTGTCCTCTACTTTAAAGAGTCCCTCCTGCTGATGTTCAGGTGTATATCATATGTAGTGTCTCTACTTTAAAGAGTCCTCTCCTGCTGATGTTCAGGTGTAATCGTAGTAGTGATCTCTACCCTTTAAAAGAGTTCCTCTCCTGCTGATGTTCAGGTGTATATCAGTATGTAGTGCAGGTACATCAGCGTTTCCTCCTCATTAAAATAGCACCTCCTCTCTGCAGCTTGAAGGTTTCAGTGTTAAATATTTGCCATGCGATTCAAGCTGTCCTTAGTCCAGGATGCGCTTGAGCTCCACTTTAAAGAGTCCTCTCCTGCTGATGTTCAGGTGTATATCAGTACCAAATGGTTCCGTCCTCTTCAGCTCGCGAACACAGCTCTGCTACACAATACCTGTTAATGATACAAAGAAAGCTCTTTATTTTTTCGACAATTGCAATATATTACCCCGATACAATGCCAGGTACCTTGACACCCCCCGTATACCCTTTTGGTTCTTCTGATATCTTCTTACTGCTGAGCATTATATATATTCAGTACACACTGTCGGCCACATCATTGTTACTTGGATCTCTCATGTACCATCATTCAATCTCACGTGATACATTATCTAGAAATAGTATAGATCGCTGACTAAAACAACGTGTTGCTCCATATAGACCAAACTTGCATTTCCAATTAACAAAACTGAAATAAGAAATGCAACACTTTTATGAGAGCCATTTTGCACAAATAGTACTTTTGATAATTTAGCATATTAAGCCGATATTATCTGTACTTTTACTTAAGAAACAGGAACTCAGGGCACAAGTGGAGTACATGAGTATGTGTTCTATAGGTTTGTGTGCATGTACAGTTGCAAGAAAAAGTATGTGAACCCTTTGGAACTACCTGGATTTCTGCATAAATTGGTCATAAAATGTGTTCTGATCTTCATCTAAGTCACAACAATAGACAAACACAGTCTGCTTAAGCTAAAACCACACAAACAATTATATGTTTTTATTGAACACACCATGTAAACATTCACAGTGCAGGGTGGAAAAAGTATGTGAACTCTTGGATTTAATAACTGGTTGACCCTCCTTTGGCAGCAATAACCTCAACCAAACGTTTCCTATAGTTGCATATCAGACCTGCACAACGGTCAGGAGACATTTTGGACCATTCCTCTTTACAAAACTGTTTCAGTTCAGCAATATTCTTGGGATGTCTGGTGTGAATCGCTCTCTTGAGGTCATGCCACAGCATCTCAATTGGGTTGAGGTCAGGACTCTGACTGGGCCACTCCAGAAGGCGTATTTTCTTCTGTTGAAGCCATTCTGTTGTTGATTTACTTCTGTGCTTTGGGTCGTTGTCCTGTTGCATCACCCATCTTCTGTTGAGCTTCAATTGGTGGACAGATGGCCTTAAGTTCTCCAGCAAAATGTCTTGATAAACTTGAGAATTCATTTTTCCGTTGATGATGGCAATCTGTCCAGGCCCTGAGGCAGCAAAGCAGCCCCAAACCATGATGCTCCTTCCACCATACTTCACGGTTGGGATGAGGTTTTGATGTTGGTGTGCTGTTCCTTTTTTTCTCCACACATAGCGTTGAGTGTTCCTTCCAAACAACTCAACTTTGGTTTCATCTGTCCACAGAATATTTTGCCATTAGTGCTGTGGAACATCCAGGTGCTCTTTTGCAAACTTCAAACGTGCAGGATTAGAACACATTTTATGACCAATTTATGCAGAAATCCAGGTAATTCCAAAGGGTTCACATACTTTTTCTTGCAACTGTATGTGCTTAAAGAAGATGTCTGCTGAAATGTGAACACTGTTAAGTAGGATAGAAATTGTGAAAGAACATTTGTGGAAGTCAGAGAGATGAAGAAGGTTTTTGGTGTTGTTCAGAGCTGAAGGCCTGACACCTGAAGGGTCTGTTTATTAAAGTTGTGTTTCCTGACCTGCATGAAGAAGCCTGCCAGCAGGGCTCTCTTGATGCTGAAGGTGTTGCTGCGGGAGCCGAAGGCGGGCAGTGAGGTGGGCAGCTCGATCCTCTTCAGAGTGTCCGTGAGCTCAGAGCAAAGAGCGTCCGCTGCCAGCAGAGCGGCGTGGCTCAGGAAGGAATCCTGACACCACTTCTCCTCATTACAGCCTGACAAAGAGTTGGTTATAGGAATACACAGAGTAATGAAGACATCATCAATATGTCTGATAATGTGTGTTTTTTTTAACCTTACATCAGATCAGATATCATTTAATGACCCCATATTGGGAATTCTTATTGTTCAGCAGCACGTTAACAAGGCATTGCAAATGTAAAATTGAAATTGAAATGAACATAACAGTAGGTATATCTCTAATAAATCTATTAAATACACAATATATTACTAACAAATTAAGATAGACAAATATTGTCTACAAAAAGAAAAATATAAACAAAGGATACTAATACAATATACACAATTCCCCTCAACTGTCCATTGTCATTTCGTTAGGCAACCTCAAAAACAGTCATCGTGACAGAATCACAAAATATGTTGTGATTATGTAAATACCCCCTTGAACCATTTCTAATGTGATTAAACCTGTTTCTGTGATTATTCTCTGATCTCTATGGCATAGTGTGTTTGTGTGTGATGTGTGTGCATTCACCGCTGCTCTGTAAACTCACATGGGTTCTGCTGGCTTTGTTTGAAGGCCTTGTAGATGTTGATGAGGGTGAAGTGGTCTCCCTCCGGGTGCTGGAACTTCATGTGGCTCTGAGTCGCCTCTGGCTTCATGTCCGCAGAGGGAACTATGAAGCAAGTTGGTGCTGAAACAAAACAAAATGTTTAGATCCTTATGTTTACTACATTGGTTCAAATGACATGGGAGCCGATGTTACCAACCTGTTAGCATGGCAGCGATGATGACCACCTCGCTGAAGCAGTCGAACTCACAGGAGGCCAGCAGAGTTTTGGCCATCTGCGGCTCCAGGGGGAACTCAGACATGATGATGCCCATCGCTGAGAGGTTTCCGTCATCATCCAGAGCTGCAAGGTAGTCCAGCTCCTCCAAAGCCTGCATGAGGCCTCCGGGGTCTGGGATGGAGAGGATTTTGGATCATACTTTAATCTATATTTTACTAAATGATACCTTGGTGTAACTGGGAACCAAATCCTACAGAGAACCAGTCTTGCCTTCATGACTATCAAGTACAATCTAGCGTTTAGGTTGCAGATTGAAACAATGCAAATACTCCTACCCTCACTTCTCCTTTTACAAGCATGATGGAGAACCTAAAATGGCTTTCAGGTGACATAAAGACATGTAAGCTCTTTCTATAGACATCCATGAAGGATCAGCTTCAAAGCTAGTGAAAAACGTCCCACTCAATTCTACACACTGGAACTTGTAACGAAGAGATTATTAATAACATTATTTTTCAGGTTTCGTGCTCTCTAAACTGTAATCCAGAGTGCTGACCCACTGAGGCAATCCCCCCCCCTTCAAAATACCGGCACCCCGGTGGGCTGCGTGGAGTAAAAAGGCAGCAAAAGATTACATTTTATAATCCTCACCTACATCTGCCATGCATCACTATGCGAAATGAAAAGTGTGTCATGGTTCCAATGGGATTTTCTGTTCTGTTTTTACAACAAACATCACAGAGGAATTAAATCCACTTTTAAATGCGCCTTATTATCCTTTTACACTCCCACAGACCAACACCATGCTCTAATCAACTAATGTGTGTGTGTGTGTGTGTGTGTGTGTGTGTGTGTGTGTGTGTGTGTGTGTGTGGGGGGTACCGGGGGAACAAAAGCACATGGAAGCAGGTCAGCTCTAAAAGGATGCTGGCAGAACAGGAGCTGTCGGTTCAGCTGAGACACGGCTCACTGCCTTCAAATAAAAAAAAAAGTTCCTGTGTTGCAACAAAAGGGAACAAACTGACTGAACCCAAAATGTTCTCATTATCACTGAGGATGATGAGGAGTCCAGGGCTCAGCCAACACACATGGTCATTAAAACTTTCTCTGTGTTTACTTTTATCCCCGTGTGTAAGTCTCACCCGGCCTGTCGATGAAGTCGCAGTGACTCAGTCCAGCGATCTCCATCCTCTTCAGGAAGAGCACCGTGGACGTGATGTCAGACTCCACCACGCGGGGGCGAATCTGCACAGGAAGCTGTCTGTCCTTCGGGTACAGGCAGAAACACTTGCCTAAAGGATAGAGAGTTAGATTTACTACATGACAGCAGCAGGGGATTAACTCCAAAAGTTTTTTGCAAAAGTTTAACTTCTCACCTTTGGGACCTGTCAGCTGTTTGCGACTCTCGGCTTGACCCGTGCTGATTGGCTGAATGAGGACTGAGTTAGTTCTGATCCTGGGGTTGTAAACCTGCAACAGCATTACAGTGTGTTCACTATATAAGATGCTCAAACGTAACCAAGTACATTTTATACTAACACAGCATTTTCAGACATGTATGTGAAACCTATAGTTAAAAGTTATTTTGCAGATGAAGATTTTACATTTTCATTATATTATCAACCAAATAATGTAAAAATACTTAAAGATTAAACAACCCAACAGCGTATTAAGTCGACAAAAATAACACTATTGCGTAGAGCTATATTCAAAAACTATTAACATGAACAAGTATACTTAGCATTCAAATAAAAAACGTATACATATATAAGTTGAAATATAACTCTAAAAAAAGAACTATAGTAAAAAGATTGAAAATGCGAGGTGTCTAAATCTTGATTTATTGTTGTAAATCAAAGGGTAATGGGATACATAATACATGATAAACATAATTAATGAATCAGCAGAATTGTCTCATTATCTTGAGTGTTTCTGGTCATTCCAGTATAATCCTTCTTAATTGCCTTTTTTATATAGCAAAAACAACCAGATAGATATACAAATACAAAACAAGGGATATAATTATATATAAAAAAATCATGGTGAATTGTTGCCATCATTCTACATCCTAGGGTACCATTGGATGCCTGCCCTGCTCTGGTGGGATCTTAGAGATTTAACATTTATAACCCTGGAAGAAATAACTTACATTTCTTTTCTCCAGCCCGGCATCAATGACAAAGTTTATGGAGCCCACGGCCCAGAAGAAGTCCTCGTTTGGGCTGGATGTGAGGAACACCCTGCGGGTCCGGGCTGCCCCCCCCTCCTCCAGGAGCGGTAGGTTCCCAGGGCGACCAGGGTGCACAGCGACGGGCAGGAGGTCCCCCAGCTCAGGGGGTACACTCTGCCCCTCATGGCACAGGATGTCATGGGCCAGATCTATCTCCTGGTGGACAGGAGAAAAGCAGAAAGTCAGAGGAAGACATTATTTAAAGGTCACCTATTATACTGTTTTTCATCAATATATTATCTCCGATATATACAAAACATGTCTCTGAAGTGTTTGGCTCGAAATACAAACAGATTATCCCATAATCCCCTCTGTTTCAGCCCTGTTTCCAAAGAGCTGTGTTAGTGGGGGTGAAATCCGGGGGAACAAAAGGAGGCCTCCCACGGCCCCTCTGAGTGCTATTTTGGTTACAAAGACCAATGGTGCTCATTAGGAGCGCAGATCTCAGGTGATAAGGGGGGGGGGGGGGGTCTCTTGCGCTTGGTGCTTGGCTATGGTTACACAAGGCCAAACCGTTCTGCACATCATAAAGTGCGCCAATCTGATTCAGCCTCTTTTCACACGGTTTTCTTATATAAATGGATGCAGGCGCAAAAGTGCGCAAATATTTTTTATTTCCTGAAACCTTTCGCAATCTGCTTTACACAGAGAGACACGTGTTTATAGTATACAACATCTGCTGAAAAAGTGATTTTGGCTCAATAGGATGACTTTAAGAGGGCACGAGCTACCATGCATGCACGTGGCTCGCTTTTTCCGCTCTGTGCGTCGTCACAGAACCCACGCCGTCTCCTTCCTCCTCTGAGCGGTGNTGTGATGCTGTACATTTCAACGCTTCGGGACTAAGAAAGGATTTCTGATTCTGTCACCTGAAGCAGTGTATTATAAAACGGTCAATAATTTACATAATGTGTTTAAGTCCATGGGCATACAGTCGTAAATGAGAAAATATCTGTTGGGTGAAGCTTCATGGGGAAGTATCTAAGGACATAACATGGATCACACAGGATCCCCTCCTTCGCAGAGATATACAAGTTACCGTAATTTTCGGACTATAAGGCGCACCTGAATATAAGCCGCAGCAGCTAAATTGAATGATGTGTACATATATAAGCCGCACTGGACTATAAGCCGCAGGTGTTTTAATGTTTAATTACCATATGTAAGGTTCGTGCACAGAGGGGATTGTCGGGAAAGAGATGGCTGTTTGAGGAAGCTCCCATTTATTAACATTTCAACAAACAAGTTGCATAATTGCATAACGTATTCAAGTGTTAGCATTTAGTGCAATAGTAGCTACAGAAC